TCTGAATCACTTGAAAAAAACACGGGGGTGCTTAACTTTTTTCCAGGTGTATATAAATACAATAGTTAAGACTAGTGTAGGAATTAAATGTTCACAAGTTGTTAGGTGTAATGGGTGCAATGATTGGGTTTTATTTGGGAACCCGGGACTGGAATGTACTTTTAAGGAAGCTAGTAATGAAGATGTGCAACTATTACGTAGAGTTTGTAGGTTGGAGGAGAAGTTGGAGGCAATCATGATTAAAGTAGAGGTAATAGATAAAGAGAAGTATAGACTGTGAGAAATGGCAGCAGGGTTTCAGGAAGAGATTAAGCTTTTAAATGCAAAGGATACATGAGCTAACAATGACTTTCAGGAAGTTAGAGAGAGTACTATTAGAGTAAAAAGTAGTGAATTTAGTTATAATGAGCCTATTCTGTTAAGTAACAAATTTCAGCCCTTGGCTTTTGCAGATGAGGAAATATTGGAGAGAAGGAAAACAAAAGGGTCAGAGAAGGATGTGGATGATAAGGAGGTTATAGTTATAGGTGATTCCTCAACAAGACATGTGGATAGAATAGTCTGTGGGGTAAATAGGGAGAAAAGAATCAGGTCATACTACCCAGGGACATAGGTGGAAGATATAAGTGACAAAGCAGGAGATGTAATAAAGGGGGCTAGCAGAAATGCAGTTTTTGTGGTGCATGTAGGGGCTAATGATGTAGGGAAAGGTAGGTCAGAGGAGCTAATTAATAAGTACAAGAATTTGTTAAAAACGTTTAAAAAAAGGTCATAACTTAATTTTGTCAATGAGTTATAAGTAGGTCCTAGAGCTAAATGCTAGGCTTGGGTTAGTATGTAAGGATGAGCAGACTGGCTGGTTAGACTTGTGGGATCAGTTCAGTGGAAGAAGAGAGCTTTTTGGAATGGATGATTTACATTTAAATAGGGGTAGGGGCTGACTTGTTCGCTAGGGCTGTTGACTAGCCATTGGCCCATTGTGTAGCTTTGTGCTTAATTACAACCAAACAAACAAACAATACAGGTACCTTTGAACTACCCAGCATTGCTATTTCGTCCTTCACTATTAAAAACATTCACAATAGTGCATCGGATAAAGGTACATGATTTATTAAGAACATTCCCACCTGTATGTCAGATAATTGTGCACTGTTGAAAACAATCACACCTTTGTACTAGATAAATATGCATTGTTCAAAATATTCATAATGTATACCAGTTAAAAATGAGTTGTTAAAAATATTCACACTGTGTATCACGTAAATATGCATCGCTAAAAAACATTCACAGATGACGATCCATAAACATAAACAGCGGCAATGACGTTTGTTATCCCGGTCTGTTGTGACCCGTTTCTCCAGTGTTCATATCAGTAAATACATATTTCATTTCATATGAAAAAAAAGAAGAACTATTTATTTTCAGCATATATTTAATGTTTATCTTACGGTTTTTAAAGCCCATTAGATATCTTATTAAAAATTAAGAAAAACATTTTAATTGTATTTTCTCAAAATTCAAATTGATTGTGGCTAGTTGTGTTAGCGTGTTAAGCTGACTGTCATATTTAATAAGGTAAGTTGTAGTCTAGTTGTTAGCATGTCATGCTGAGTACCAGGTTGAATAAGGCTTTGTTGTAGCTAAGGTTTTAGCGTGCTAAACGTAGGCTCAAAAGGGCAAAGGTTCGCGTTACGACGTCGCTGAACAAGATCCCTAGTTTCAGCTGTGTACTGTCTGTCTTCAGTCTGGTGAATAATTCAAAATTAGGGACTGCTGTATCTGAATCTCAGGAGTATCTAACCTAGTTGTTTGGTCTATGTACGCACAGGATGCCTTTCATATTGAAGGAACCAATTTCACATTGAATGAGCAAGTTTCATCTTTATTATTTTTAGTGTGAACAAATTATGAAGTTTCAAGTTTGATTGTTATAAATAAAAAACTGTCAACTTCTACCTAACTCATCTTGTTTTGCTAATATAAAATATTTACTTTTAGAATTAGCTGCAAAGCAGCTTAGGTAACCCCA